TGCAAAGTGAGGTGAAGGCAGCTCCAGCCCCACCTCTAAGGTAGCAGAGCTTTCAGCCCTTCTCTGCCTGGCTTAAAAGGAGCCTGGGCAGAGCCCTGGAGAGAAGTGTGCAAGACCGAGGCTACAGGTGCCCAGCGTGCTGGCACAGAGCGACCCTGCACTATCCCAGGGCTTCCCCAGCTCCAGTGCCTTTGATCCCTCTGCCTCTCAGCATAACAGCACGAGGCACTGAGTCACCCCTCAGTCCCACGGGGGAATGAGGATTAATTGGTTGATGCTGGCACATTGCTTTGAAGCGAGGTGCTCCGCTGCAGCATGAGCCACAGGTTGTTACGTAGCAAGCTGAGTCAAACGCAGCCCTGGCTTCACATCTGTCATCTCTGGAAGAGCAAGGAAAGGAAACATAGTGGGGGGCAGGGGGAATGAATGTTGACGCTGGGGCGACGCCAACGCTGCCATCAAACCTAGGAGACCGGCCAGCGCAGAGGTTCAGGAGAGCTTTGAGCTGACCAGAGCAGACAGCGATAGTGCCGCAAGGACTGCCGACCCTCAGCACGTACCCAAGGTGTTTTGCCAACGTGAGCACTGTGATGAGATAGGCAGCGGGGCAGGAGCCAGGCAGGCCCAGCCGCAGCACGGCACGGTCACCCCATCACCGCAGGGTGGGCACACAGGAGGACCAGAGAGCTTCCACAGGAAGACAGGAAAGGAAAGTACTCCATGCTGCCAGAAAATGGGGGAAGCCTCCTTCGCGTGTTTAATGCTAACTGGGCTTTTTAGGTCTTCCCAAATGCTTGCCAGCGTGCCTCTGCCTCGTTCCTGCATGGGGACCGCTCTCGAGGACGGGTGCTTCAGCTGGCCCTGGCACAGGTTCTTGTAGCACGGAGAGGGTGGCAGGATGCGAAGGACAGAGCAGCCTCTGTGCACCGGGGCCAGGTTTCCCAAGGGGAGGTGGCTTCTCTCTTTGTTTTTGTCCTCGCCCCACCTCGGTGCTCCTTCCCGTGACGCGCAGAGCCCACGGGGCTCTCGGGCCCAGCCCGCAGCTGCACCTGGGCCGGCGGCGAGGAGGCAGCCTGTGCGTATGTAAAACATGGGCTCTCTTTCACACACCACTGACTTCCCTCCGCAAAGGAGGCAGCGGGGTGGGGGGACGGGCACGGCCTCTTTCCTGGCTCCTCGCAAAACGCCCCGCCACGCGGTGAGCTCGAGGGATGTCAGCATTGCGGCACGTGTCAGCTCCCACAGAAGGAGCCCATGGCAAGGGAAATGTGGCCCAGCACGGGCCAGGAGCCCGCGCTACTCAGCTGCCAAGGAGCCTGAGCAAGTCACATCGCTCCCGAGTCCCTTGCGCACAACCTCTCTCGCGCACCGGTTCTTCACAGCCAAGACGGCCCCTCCTGCACAGAGCCGACCCGAGGGGATGCCGTCCTGCCTAGCATCGCCGCGCCGCATTAATATTTATCAGGGAGGAAGAGATCCAGAGACTTTGATTTCTCCCACTGGCCAATTCAAGGATAATTGAACTGTGCAGGGAATTTCAGCATTTCAGAGGGTGGTTTTGTTCCAGTTTACAACAAAACCCAACCATGCCACAACAGCTTATGAGGAGGCAGCAGAGTCAGGCAGGTAAGCAGCGCAAAACACAGCCAACCTCGGGAGGCGGCAGCAGGCAGGTCCCACCAAACCCTACTCCCCCAGAACTTAGGTTAAAAAAAAAAAAAAAAAAAAAAATCAAATTCTGCTAATTAGGAAAAAATGGTTTCTTCCCAATGTTTCCACCCCATTCCAGATTTGTGAACCCCAAAGCACTGTCAGTTCGCCCTCATCACACCCCTCCAAACCAGGACAGCTCCTGCAGTAGAGGCAGAGCAAGTGAGGCACAGTAAATTTTAACGCACGTGCCTGGGGTCATGCAAGAAATCAGCCAGAGGCGAAACGAGCCCAGCATTTCTGGCTCCCAGCTCTGGGCTGTGCCAGCTATTGCTTTCTCTTGCATATAAATCACTTTTCCCCACCAGTGAAGGACAGCTGGTCACTGAATGGAAAGTGGCAGTTGTTCAGCAGCCCACAGCAACACTGCACACCAGCGTAGGGTGGGAAGTGGAGAACACTCAGCGTGCAGAGGAGACTGCCAGGGGATCTGGGCCAGCTGAATGGAGATGGAGCTGCTGGAATCTCGCCAGAGCAAAGCCCAGTGCTCCTGAAAAATCAAGACAAGTTAAAAACCCCACAGGAGAAAGCATTTCCTTTGCTTTTGCCAGCAAAGCAGGTACCTTTGCCACAGCTCCACAGGTCAGCTCCAGGCAGCAGAGCAGGAGTCCCTTCTTGTCCACTGCTGCTGTGGAACAGTGGTCATGCAGCATGACCACAGCTGCTGACCTAACCCAGCCAGCCCCATCGGACTACAGGTCTTGGCAAGCAGCCACATCCAGTTTTAAGCAGTGCCCAAAGTAAATATTAGAGGTGGCCTTGACTCTAAACCTCTATCACCAGTTTCAAGGTTTGGAGGGACAAATAAATCCCCAGGGCTGGGTTTATCTCTGGTCTTTGTTCCAGGACAGAGAGATCTTTTACTACAGGTGCCATATCAGCACACAGACTTTCTCTCCCGTTAGTATGGACCGAGCACATCATGTCCGAGCACATCATGTTTTATCATGCTTAAAAGTTGGTCTGGTTTAACTGCTGGTGTGGCAAAGCCAGCAAAAAAACCCCTTCCCTTGGAAAACCCGGGATAGCAGAGAGCTATAATCCCAACAGGTAATGCCAACCAAGCTGAGTTGTGCCAAAATCTCTCACAGACCACCTCCGTGAGCAGCTCGGCTCGCAGGCTGAGGATACAAAAACTTGACTTCAGGTGACTGGACTGAAGGCAAAATCCTGTGGGTCGGCCTGCCGTAGCAAAAGAGACCCTATTACAGCCTCATTCAGTTCCACCCAAAAGAAAAGCACTGCATGAGCGAAGCTTACACTGGTGTAACTGGTGCAAGGTCTTCTACGTTAATTAAACCCCTTTGACACTAATCTTGCTGACATAGCTGACAAACTAAAACACGTCTGCAAACTGAGACAGTCAAACCAGCAACGCTCACGGGTACTTTTTGCCACAGAGAGGGGGGGATTTCTCTTGATAAATCTCCACGGGGATGAGGAACCAAGGCAACATAAAGCGGAAGAGAAAGGAAGTAACTCCAAAATATTTGTTAGCTTAGATTTCAGCCAGATTGGCAAGCTCTTCCGTGATGTTTAAACACAACGGAACCTGAGTCACTAGCCTTAATTCAGCCTCAGGCCTCCCCTGCCTCTGATCCCGATCCAAGCACCAGTTTCACAAGACTTTTACCAAACGTTAGCCCTGGCTACTCCATCTGGATGAAAGATACCCTCGGCTGCCTTGTCTTCTCTGGTAGGGGCAGTGTTACGGCCCACCTAAACTAACAGCTGACAGTTCCTAGAGGTATTTACATAGTTGAAGCTGTAGCTTTAGATGTGTCCCAACCACTTTCAGTTGTAAAACATGATGGACCTGAGACACAGTGTCATATTCTTAGATACGCTCTGCTTCCCCTGCCAGTTCTAGTAAAGACTTTTTCCTAAGAGTAAGAAAAATATTTGCCCCAAGGTGAAGCGAGATGCTGCTCTTAAGGAACTAGATTTTATTTTGTACCAGCTGGGATTCGGCCACCTGTAGGAAGTACAAACAGCATCTTTATTCTTTGAAAGTAGTAGAAGGAAAGAAATACCACATTTGAAACATAGCAGTGGAAAAAAAAAAAAAAGCCCTATGCTTGAAGGCACAGGGATGGACAGCAGCACGTGTGGGTCGCTACAAAGCATTCTGGGTGAACCAAAGAAAGTTTCGTTTTCACCAGTTAAGAAAGCACAGCGAAATTACTCTTGAGGCCAAAGGGATTTTACCCGAGTCCAATAGTTATTCGAGGCAACCGGAGAGCGACCAAGGAGACGGAAGTCTCCTTACCTTACAGCAGTTGCAGAGGACACGAAAGAATGGCTCATTTCATGCCGCAGCCCTTCCTTCCCTCCCCCAGACTGCACCTGCACATCAAGAGCAAATCGAAACCAGTCTATTCTAAACCATGGTCTCATTTATTTTGAGGGACCCAAAGCGAGAGCGAGGCTGAGACAGCATAACCAACAGAGAAACTTGTTTCTCAGGATGATTGCCCCTCTCCGGTGGCAAAGCCCTGGCTAGTGCCGCCAGGACCACAAAGCTAGCTGAAAGTAGGGCATGCCCATCAAGCTCCCAATCCTTCTTACACAGCCGTGAGTTTGCACGTCTTTCTCCTTTGGGTTTTAGCCAGAGTCCAGCCCTTTTGGGCACCATAACACAGCTGAATGGTTTAGCTCCTTTTGTTCCAGCTGACAACCAACCTAGCCCTCCCCCGCCAGCAACAATACAAGCGGAGCTAGGATTTGTGTGTCCTCTGAGCAAGGATACAGGCTTTGTGCCTTGCTGAGCTGTCTTTGCAAGGACTGCCAACCCTCACAGCCGATTAAGCCTGTGGTGCTGCTTTCTGCTTTCTACTGCTCACAGACAGATGTCGGAAACAAGCTAAGCGAAACAGCACACACAGCTAGAGCTCTGCACCTACAAACATTAAAGCAGACCATTAGGGATTAAAAAAAACAGAACCGGAGGGAGCTTAACACATTCTCTCTAGGCTTTGTTTTTACCTGGCATGCAATTCTGGGTAAGAAACACCTCACACTTCAAGAAACACTGTCTTCTGGAAGGTGGCTCCATTCGGTATGCAGGAAGGATTGTATTTGGAAAGCTTTTGCCACCACCACGTGGCTGAAACCGTGACTGCAGCCCACCAGCTAACTGGAAGTTCAAACTGCCAGCAAGGACCAGCCTCGCTGCCAGGGCAAACCAGGGCAAGCATTCGTAGGTTTTAGAGCCCATGCCACATACCTAAACAAAAAGCATACAACCAATTATTAAATATTATACATTTTATTAACTTAGAACTCCAAAACATACCACTGACTTGCAGTAAGAATAAGGCATGAATTACCGCTGACAAGAACCTGTTAGTTATGGGATTACACACAGCATACGCCCAGCGCGCAAGTGACAATGTGTGTTTTCTGTAGGTTGCTGTAGTCCAGCCTCCGGTCAGCCCCGGTGGCTGGGTTGCTAGAGTTATCCTGGGCTTGGTAGACTGGGGTTGATTGTTATCCTGGGCTTGCTAGATGGAGCCTTTTTCTGTAAAGATCTAAAAGAAAGCTAAAGTGCTAGATTATCTTCTTTAGTCCCTTCCTCCCCAATTAGATATCAGGCATGGGAATACTGAGCCTTTCACTGGGCAGACGCTCACACAGCTGGATCATTTACTGCCACTTGCAGCCTATCTAGAAGCCACAGGACAGCCTGCCTTCCCCATTCTTCTCTTCATGGGGAGACAAAACATGGCAGCGAGGTTTCACGTTAGCCCCAAGGTGCTGCATTTCAACTGAAAGGAAGCAGGAGCCTGCTGCCTCTTCTCTAGTACTTTGGAGACACCGAAACGAAGACGCTCAACCGTGACACATGGCATTTGGGATAGTGGCCTGTTCTGATATTCTCTCAGTAAAACTCATAGCTCCTGGCCATTGGCAAAGTGGGTGAAACTCAGACTTGATCATGAAATGGGATGCAGATGTAATAATGCATAGGAACCCCCAATTCAGTCTGCCCTCCCCCCAGCACCTATATGTTCACTCCACTGAACAGGAGTCAAACTTTTCTTGAGTGATTACCAACTAGTAACAGCTCTGTACAAGTGGTCATGACAAGTCAGGCAAAAAAGCTTCCCAATGTGATTCCAGCTTGAATGCCTGGAGTGAACAAACTGACGAATGTGGCTGAATTCTCACAATGAGAAGCTATTCATCAGCAGAGCGCCTCATCAGCAAGCTAAAGGACAAGGCAGAAACTCCTGGTACGTGACCAGCACAGATCTGTAACATCCGGAGAAGTCGCTGAGCAGTGGCAACTCGTATCCCTTCCAACTAGAAATGAAATGGAGAAATTATTTAATACTATTTAGTATTAGTTAATCAACAGAAAAGTAGTGCTAACCCATCATAAAAGAAAGAACCAGAGCAGGCATTAAGTATGGTTCAGAGTGGCTAGCTACAGAAAACCCCAAACAGGCCCATTTACTCCCCTAATGTTAAGGCAGGTACAGTGCTGTCAGCTGAAAACACCTAAGGCCTCGCCAAAGGCACAGATATTGCCTGCTGGTTGGGAAGCAGTTTCTGAGGGTGGAACGATGAATACATGGAAAAGTGAAGTGTGCTACTGCTGAACGCCAAACTCTCCCTCCAGCTTTTCAGACAAAGC